ATTGATTGTTAATTAAATAAAATTTTCAAATATTTAAAAATAAAAAATAAAATAGAATGAAGACATTAATGAGATAAAGCTTTATTATTTTATTAGAGCATTGTTTTATTATAAACAACATACTTTGAATTTCAAGAAAAAACATTATATTTATCAATCTAATGTAAAACTTATATTGAGGTGGTGTTTGGTTAAAAGTATTAAGTAATAATTAATTAAAATAAAAATAAAAAAAACTGTTTGATTTTATATGAATATAATTAATATGATGTTATTATGTTGTTCTTTGGTTCAATGCCTGGGTTTATCTGCAATATACGGTGGTTGTGATTTTAGATTGTTTCTGCGTCTGGACGTTCTATCTGTCTCTATGATTTTTATTTTTTTTATTAATATATCGGTGGTATTTAGAAAAATTAGATATTTTATGGAGTAAATTTATTCATGGAATAATAAATGAAGATTACTATTACAACAGTAAACAAAAAAGGAAGAAAGTGGATGCAGCCTTATTTAGTGAACGGGTTGGAGGTTTCCATTTTGTAGCGGACAATGATCGGTGGCCATCAGAAAATGTCATGGTCCCACCCAATTACATAACAAACGTGTCGTCTTCACCTCCTACCCACGCATTAGTCAAGAGCTTCTTTAATAAGATTTTCAATCCTTGTTTTTTTTTATTGAATATTAAAGCATCATATAATCACTAATAAAAAAAGTATTCTATTGAAATATTAAGAACTTCGAACGAAATATTAAATTGACATATCCTTGACCATAATATAATCTAATATAATGCTAAAAAATTAATCATCCAAGTTATTCAAACTATAATAAATAAAACTATCAATTATGAGAAATTGTCACTAAATTAAACACTAATCAATCGTTGGACTCATCATCATCGTTGACGATAAACTTTCTTTTACGTGTAACGGTTGGAGTAGCATTGTTACACGGTGGGTTCCCATCAATATCATCCAGATTCTTCATGTCACTCAAAGCCGTCTCCTATGTCATTTGAAAACCACATAAAAAACAAACAAACAAACAAAATAACTCAAAAATAAGGGAAACCATTTAAAATTCTTGAAAGATAGATAAATGATACAACAAAGAGCTAGAAATATAGGTTTTACATTAAAAAAAAAAAAAAAAACTAACCGTGGTTGAGTCAACAGGCTTGTGTTCTTTTTCTAGAACATAATCTGGATTAAAAACCTTAGACACGATAAAGATATCGCTGCCATGTTTGATATTATAATCAGACAATTGCAGACAGAACACAAATTTTTGCCCACAAATGGAAGTAATTTCGCTGGTAAGGTGTCCTTGTCCGGATCAGATTTGTTTAACAGCTTCAAAGAAGAAGAGTCTACCATCCTCTCAGCAAGTTTGTGAAGGACAACACAATTGACAACATCGGTGTCATCCCGAACAGACAAATGTAACTTGAACCTGATCACATATGGCAGAATGATTGAAGATGTAAATTATGAAAATGGTTAGCAAGAGTTAAAAGTTTGGAGCACTTACAATGTCAAAGCATTCTTGTACGCAACATTGCAAGAAGCACATTTGTAGACACCGTCAATAGGATTGACTTTTCTACAACATCCTTGACAACCTAAATAGAACCATCCATATTGTGTCTCAATATGTTCAATAACTCCCAAGATGGTTATGATGTAACCCTATGTACGTCAAATAAGAGGATGTTAGTGTAGAATAAAAAATTGTTTGATCAGAATACATAAAATAATGGAATAATTGTCTCTTATCATTACTTTTGGTTTGTTGCTCCACTCTGCCTACAACAGTTGTTGAATGTTCATCCGATTCTCAAACATCTCCTCTTCCACCGTTCTCTTAACCTTACCAGAAGACACCCCCAAGTGTAGTCGAGGACAAACATTAGCAAATCTGTCAGCCAAGGCCAGCACATAGTCGGTGTTGAGATTAACATACACTTTGCTTGCACTTGAAGTTGCAAAGTTTAGGACGCCTAACAATAAAATGTATATTATGTGAAAGTTAGTTAAAAAGATATAAGCTTTATATTATGATATAAAAGATTATGAAAGAAATTACCTTGAAATTTTTTGACTCGGGTAGAAGTAATTATGATAATAAAAGTGGCACCCGACTTTTGCTGGAATTGGGAATCATCAAAAGTTTCACCAAGAGCTCCCCATAAAGTAACTTTGCATGTGACATTGCTAAGATAAATAGTAAGAGCAATTGGAAACAGTTAACCATAGTATCAAAGTATTTGCTAAAAGGAGAAACAACAATATAACCTGGAAGATCACTTACAATTCCGATATAATCTCCAAGTCTCTTTTTCGAAACCCACCCCTCACAGTCTCAACATCTCCAACAGCAGTTAAACAACCAATAATATCTAAAAAAACCAAAAGAACATAAATCAATCAAGTGARGTCAAAAAAGGTAAGAACTTCTTTTAGACATACCTGTGAGTATGTTGTCATCGTTGAGACGGTCATTAACTGTTTTCTCACTTGCAWGTTGGAACCCATGCATAGGGATAGAAGGAACATAGGTATCAACTTTTTCCACCTTGGTTAATAGTGTAAACATAATCTTCAATTTTGAGTCAATGAYCTTGAAGGCGCCAGAATTCTCAACCACCTTGAAATTCTTCAAAATATACACATTTCCTTCTTTCAACAAATGGTTGAACTTGTTGACCAAGTTCTTCCTTACCATTGTTGTCATGAGAGAGCCCTACGAAACAAAACAAATGAAAACAAACAAATTAACCAAAACATAGTTTGCTATTACATGGTATTAACAATAAAAATAAATGACACACATTTTCATCAATCACAACCATGTCCAAACTAATTAGTTCCTCATTTCTCTTTGTATTCAAAGATTCCCACAACCTACATATTCTAATTTTTACAACCCAACTTTCATTATCTAAAACCAAGTTCTGTAATCCAACAAACTCCATATGTAGAAAGATTTGTAATAGAAACTTATAAAGAGAAAAAGATCTTATGGTATAGAAAGTTGTATGAGTAATTAACAAAGTAATAAAAAATAATATAAGCATGTGCATATATATAGTATATAAGCAACAATTAATTCATCATTAACACAAATTCATTAGTTATTTAAATGTCATTTAAAAGTTTGAATTAATGATGTGAATGTTACAAATTCATATGAGAATTGTAGTTATTAGAGGGAACATGAATAGGTTGAAACAACCTAATTAAAGGATCTTAAATGTGAATATGAAACATAAAAAACAAATATTAAAGTAGGAGAAGCTTGAGAAAAACATTGATTGAGACAATAACACTAACCATGAATGGAATTAAAAGCAATTTAAAAGTTTAAGTTAGATGACCATAGAAAATGAATGGGAACACAAAGTATAAGAAAGATGATTAAAGTAGTTGACCAACAACTATGAGCCTGACCCTGATGACTATGAGGTGTTGACCAACAACTATGAGCTTGACCCGGACGATAGCATAAACGGTGAAGGCATGGACTCTGAACCATGCAGAGATTTGACATAAAACATTATTACTTCTGAACTCGATCACAGTGAAACTGAAGAAATTCTGGTTGGTGTGTCTGAAAATGAAGTTAAGAGGGAAAATAACGAACCTGATCCTGATGATACTCATTCAGACAGGTCTTGATGCTGCTATTTTTATGAGCAAGGTTGGTGATTGCATCCGCTGATTTCCTTATGGCACCATTGACTGTTCGAACATTCTGGTCATCCCTGCGCCTCTTAAGCAGAGCAACCAGATGAGGAAGCGCTCCAGCATCAACTATGAATTGTTGATGCTCAGGCTGTTAAACAATGGAAATCATAAATGCAATTCTCCAGTGAACTGTATACCAAGTACAATATATATAAATCCCAACCAATATGAGCAACATGTTTAACATCAGTTGGAATAC